AATAACAAACTATCCTTTATTAAAAAAATACAATAAAAGTTCCCACACATTTTTTTATTACAATAACTTACAAACTATTCAACATTAATAGTGCTATTCGAAGCCCGGGGTCGACCGTCCCTCGTAAGCTTGAGATGTATGAGTTTCATATGAGTGCCTAAAATGCCTGCTTGGCTGAACGTCGCTGGGCATTTACTGCATTGATATGGCCGCTCGCCCGTGTGTGTTCTGATGTGGCTTTTAAGTATGGCGTTTCGCTATGAACAGAAAAAAAAACATTTCTAGTTTTACTACCACGATATTTATTTATTTTCCTACTCCTGTATTTTAATAATAATTTCGTAAACCATATCATAAAATCGTCCTTTTTAGTTCTGAACCAAAATTCTATTGTCTATGATAGAACTGAAAAAATTCATTACAACGAATTTCAAAAAAGAACGTCGTATTTTTGCTAATTAAAATGGGTCTCCTTAATCGCGTCGCTGTGTTCCTGAACAGAATAACGTCGCTATGATTGTGAAATTATTAAAATTCAAATTATTTTATTAGATAATATCTCAAAATGTTATATAACATGTACAAAGGCTTAACCATTCGGCAAAAAAAAACTATTCAAAAACAATGTAAAATAGCAAATAGGACGCTATTTAAACGCTCTACTGGTTCCTGATTGGTTAAAATATAAGTGGTACTTGACCAATCACGGACATTTCTATTCCATCTCTGTGATCTTTTGTTTTGTAGGGTTTGTTTGGTTTTCAATTGAGTTTGTTGTCATGAATTGTAAACAAAATATACATATAAGTATATTAGTTGGGTTTCATTACTTTAATTTACTCGTAGAAAAAATATTCATATGCAAATACATAATTAGTTTCAGGCTAAGAAGCGTAGTGGTAAGAACCACGGTATGACTTTTTTTTATTTCGCAATGAAGGTAGTAGTCGTCGACAGCAAGAGGGTAGACAGATATGTCTACTCTTAAAGCTGTCATCTGCCGCCGTCCAGTCAACCCGTGACAATGGAGCGTGCAACCGTTCCGAAATATTGGGAAAAATGAAAAGAAGTCACACCGTGGTAAGAAGCCTGAAATTAGTGATAATCATTTAGGTAGTGAATAACCGCGCAAGAAGATGAATTAGATCTATTTGCCAAGATTTATTGAAGTCGGTTACTGAAAAGTGCGCGGAACCGGATTCATCCCCCAGTTTGCCACCCTTAGAGGCGGAATATTTTCTTCAAATTTAAATGGGTCCAATACTGCAGTACCCTCTTTCCAACAAAAAGGAATCATCAAAATCGGTTCACAAATACCGGACTAATCACGAAACATAAACAAAAAAATACAGCCGAATTGAGTATCTCCTCCTTTTTTGAAGTCGGTTAAAAAACTAACGTGACTCATTTATAACGCTATTATTAACTAAATTCTTGCTATTTAAAGAAACAATAAAAAAACGTGGTTAGGTTAAGGTTTTTCAAACTTGTTTGATGCTTTATTTGATCGTTTGTGACATTGTTTAAAGAAACCGTGAAGTTTGAAGTGTGCCTTATTCTGCGTGACCATGGTCCAGTTTTTGAAATTTGGCTAGCCAGAAAAAAGTCGCTATTTAATCGGTCCGCCGTTCAAAAGTTATAAGGGTGTTTTAAAGTCCACGCTGTAATAAACTTATTCCAGTGAAAAATCAGATCTAAGCTAGGTGTTGTCACCTATCTAAGATCTTAGATCTGATTACACTAAAAAAAGTCGTGATTTAGTCGGTTCACGTCGTAAAAAACTAGATTTAGTCGTTACGCCGTTTTGAAGTTATTAAGGTGTTTTACTGTCCACGCTGAAATAAGCTTATTCCGGCGGCACCATTTTTGAATGTCGAGAACCACAGCTCCTAGCTTAGATCTAATTGCACCCAGCAAAAGTCGTGAATTAGTCAGTTCTAGTCGTAAAATTTTAAAATTAGTCGCTCCTTTCTTTAGAAGATATTGGATATTCAATTATTTTCATTGATATGTACATTTACGTAGAAAAAATCATACACGTAATGTAATAATAAAATAAATAAACGACTTTTTTTCTGGCTAGTCAAATTTCAAAAACTCGACCATGGTCACGCTGGAATAAGGCACACAAATTTGAAGGATAAATATGACAAATTATTTGATCGTTTACGGGAGCTTAACATAAGTTCATACTTACATCAAAGATCTTATCGCACATTGGGCAGGGGAACTTGCGTGGCAGGGTATATCCTTCATGAATCTTCTTCTTATGCATAGTCAACGAATCCAATCGAGTGTACGCCTGAGAACATAAGTTTGTACTCACGTCAAATACTTTGTCACACATCGTGCAGGGGAACTTGTATTGTCGTTTCTCCCCCTCATGTATGAACCGCTTATGTTCTACAAGGCTCCATTTATTTGTGTATGTCTGGGGAAGATTAGCTTTAGTTTTTATGTTAATATTTCAGTTTATTTGTGGATGTATAGAAGCAATCATATCGCAGTACACAGCTGGACATAGGCCTCCCCCAAATCGCCCGGCCCTCAGCTAGTCGGCATCTGTCTTTAAAGAATGTAATAGGGGTTATCGAAGCCTAGAATATCATAACATTTTTGAAATAAATGTCTACGATGGTCTTTATTTTTTCCTCTATCCAGCTGTGGTAAAACTCTTCAATCAAAAATCTCAAAAGTTTTCCAATATCATTGTTGGCATTATAAATCTTCTACATCCCGAAAAATATTAGTAGAAGTAGAGCTCCTTGTGAAAGAGTTCCTCCAAGAGGTCGTCTTTGGCGGCAGAAATTGGGAAGTACTGCCACCTTACCTATTTCTGCAGCCAATCAGTAGTGTGAGCATTACTGCGTTCCGGTTTTGACTGGTAAAGATGCTGACGAAATTACAGGCACATGGGAATTGTCAACTTATGTCTTAGAGTGACGGGCGCAGTGGCAGTGCCCCTCAGATCTTTGCGACTTAAAGCTCTGAGTGGCACTGCAACCGTTTGGGCAGGCGTGTAGCTTACAATCAGGCGCACGACTTGTACGTCCCGTCACTCGATATTGATGACTTGATATAAAAAAAAAATATGGATAGGATTTAACTCAAATAGGATTTTCTTTGAAGCACATTAATTCTATGAATTAAAGCAACGAATATGAAATATTTAAATCATCAACAGCCTATCGCAATCCACTACTGAACATAGGCCTCTCCCAATGTGCGTTTCTGATTTATAACTGCGTCTGTGGCCAAACGGTTACATATATATAAACGCGTCGGTTACATCGTCTCTTAACATCAGGTGAGATTGTGAGACAGGTGAGACACACGCTTGGCCACAATCTCACCTAATGTTAAGAGACGATGTAACCGACGCGTTTGCCTAAAAAATGCCTATTCACTCTAGCCTTGAATAGCCCCAAATTGTACTTTTCGGGAAACACAGATAGAGCATTCCATTCCTTTGCCGTACGCATTAGAAAGGAGGAAGCAAAACGCATAGGTGGAATATCAACGACATAAGAACGGAGTGACCCGGACCTTCTAGTCGACCGAAGGAGGAACGGTGAGGTTGGAACTAAATTTAAAAAATCCTGAGCACACTCCTCGAAATACATCCCATAGAAAACCGACAAGCAGGCTACTTTTCTGCGATGGTCGAGATTTTGAAGCTTCGACTCCACAAGAGAATTGTTGTGTCTTATTAACAACAATGTATATAGTGAGTTTGGGTGTAATTTGTGGTGTTCTATGTGTGTGTCTGCTCTGCTTCTCTCGTCAGCTTATCGCATCCATATGCTGTCAGCATCTTTTCACAGATTGTCACTCCATCTGGTCGGACACTACGTTTGCCGAGCCATGGTCTCATCAGTATATAGCCAGAAATAGAGACGAAATGTCATTTAATTTGCTTGAAAACTATTCTGCCATATCATTACTGTGACAACTGCGCTCCGATTGGCTAGATTGGCTCCGAGTTCCAAACAATTGGCGGGTGTTGTCAACTGTTTCACATCAAATCGACCAGTTAAGATTTAATTACCGGTGAAATGTGATTCCGTTTGTTTTGTAATTAGATGTTCTGCTGTTTTTCCCACACCACCGTATAGAACAGCACGACATTGTTAGGGATATTATCTTTATTACAGTAAATACAGAATATTTTATGGAATATACGGAGACGTACGCACAGGTCAGTAGTTGGCCTGTCTATATTTCAGTGCAAACGGGAGTTGATATTTATAAGAGCTGTATCGCTAATGTGTTACCAGGAATATATGGCCCTTATTTCGTCTCTATTTCTGGTTATATACTCGATGCATGGTCTCCACTCAAGACCTCGCTTTCCCTATCGGTTGTCGATTCTTCAAAGGAAATAGCCAGTCCACTGCCACTTCAGCTTGCTTATTCTACCACCTATGTCGATGATATTGGTTCTCTATCGAATAGCCTCATTTAAGAGTCGGTACTACCTCAGATCCAATTTAAATGTTTCCCGTACTAATACGGTTTATTTTGCTTGGGTCGAGCGACAGGGACACGGGCTTTATTTCAGAATTTATTTTGTTACATACCAAATTAAAGCCTTTTGAAAAACGTATATCGTATATGTCGGCGCGGAACCATCCGGCCATTGTAAGTCGTCATCGTCATGAGGCTCAGACATCACGAGATACATGAAACTGCACTTTAACTTAAACCTATTCCGAAACGGACACTTACGTTAATATTAACAAAAATTAATGCAATTCAGTTACAGAGCCGAGGTAATAATCGCGGTTGTTATAAAAAAAAGCGCGGAAAAACATCAACACAATTATTACCAATCTTTTTGGCCGACCTCTGATTTGCGGAGCCGATTTTACGTCAATACAATGTCTTTACGTTTTTGTTAACGATTCATTTTAAAATTAAAGCTTGTTAAGAATAACAATATTACAAACTTATTATTTAACAATTTTACTATTAGGATTTTGCGCATTATTTTAGAAATTATAATCGTTTTAATTAAATGAGATCTTATCATTTCACACTACGATAGACGACAGCGCCCTGTTTGCATAAACACGCCTTCTTGCAAACAGTTTATCTAAAGGAACATAGATGGCGTTTGTAAGCGCGCCCATATATACTATACGTGTTCTATAGGGTGCAGTTGATATTAAAAAAATCATTGGTATATATAAAGTACCTATTGAATACAGGGGTTTTCTTGTAAACTTTCGAGGGATTTTTCCACCGTGAAAATGTTTAAGAATCGTGTTTTCACATAGTATAGTACTAAGTCTATATTCTCAATTATACTATATATTTTTTCCTTATTGATTGATTCGACACTTCCAATGTTATGCGAAATGAACCAAAGCCATTTCAACAGGGCTATCACGATAAGGCGCGAAATGCGCGAAAGAGACATAAAAGGCGGAATCTTTATCTCGTACTAATCGCTCCCTATCGTGCTAGCCCTACAGGTAGTCTAGACTCTTCTGCCATCCACTAACTAAAAGGCGGCTAAGTGACAAATGGTCAAATATCCGTCTTAAATAGCAAGAGATAGAGCTCAAAATTATCTTTTCAGTTCTTATGCTCTTAAAGTTCGTATTTATGCTGAGTGTAGGCTGCATAAAATAGGATTTTATGCTCTAGTGCACACAATAAAACCGTCGTTTAAGACCGAGGCAATGACGCCTGCGCCAACAGCCACGCACTCTAGAACTTTATAAAATAAAGGCACCTCAAGTTCATAATAAAATACAAAGTAATACACTGAATATGCCAGGGAAAACCATCACATTAAATATGTCTAATTGTAGTAATTTTACATTCAATTTTAATTAAATAATCGATCATTTGTAATATTGCTGTTTAATTTCCTCGCAATCGAAGTGAAAAGCAGATTGTATACAGTCGTTCATGAAACCTATTTTACCCTCGACTTAAGTATCCACCCTCGCCTGCTCGTCTCGGGCAAAATGACGCGTTTTATGCACTTATTGTACAATGTACTATTTAAAAACAGTTAAAATTGGTTAACATGTTCAATTTTCAAAACTGGGTTACGGATTTTTATGTCTCAAACAAATATTTTGTCACTTAGCCACAGTTTAGTTAACGGACGGCAGTCTTAAAATCTTATCTTTCAGACAAACTCGGAGAATAGATCGTTCCATAACTCGCCGAGCGACTGATAGACTGGTGGACCAGAAGCCTCCAGTTTATGGTGAAAGAAACCATGGTGATGGAAATTTCAATGTCGAAAAAGGTTTACAACTCCTGGAAAAGGTGTAAAGCCGGCAGAAACTAAATGTTACCTTGTCACATTGGTCACATTGGAATGGCTTTATGTTGAAATGGACCCGATTGGCGTGAGAGTCCAGGCCTCGTCGGCAGCTGAACCTTTTCTCGCATTGATCACATTGTATACTGAAAAAGGAAAAGAATATTAATTAGTTTTTTTTTTTAATGGGACAGTATAGGGAAATATGAAACCATAGAAGATACAAGGAAACTGTCTTAGGAACCATTAAGTCTTTTTTTCTCGTGAAAACAATTTTGGCATAGTCAATTTTTTGGTCAAGGTAGACTTGGTGAAATTTTTTTTTAGTATTCAGTGACTCAGTTTCATAAAGGGATCATTTCATTGTACGGAACAAAATAATCGGGACTGTCGAAGTTGGTCATATTCATAAAATATTTTTCATAACTATAGTTTTTTTCTTCCGTGGGCGTGTCGCTTTCAACGGGCACATGACTTAGTCGTCCCGTCACTTAATATAATACAAAAATAAATACTGGTAAGTTTACAACTACTTACGGTAATTCTAAATAATTGACGTGAGGCACAGCTATCTTCAAATGCTGCTTCAATGCAACGGACGTCTTGAAACTCCTGAAAATTAAATTACAGCGTTAATCTTAATTAATTTGTTAAGTCATATTATGTCCAATCCAATATGGGGATCTCTCGCAAATGGCATTCAGTGCAGGACGATAAGAGAGAGCCCGAATTTTCAACGTAGATTGGTAGCCAACTATTTGAAAAGCATTCAAGGGCGTTCAGCACCCAGAAGCCCGTTTATGGTATTGCATTATGAAGGAAGCTGGTGAAATTACAGGCACATGGGACTTATCAACTTATGTCTCAGATGACGGGCGCAGTGGCATTGTTCTCCGATCTTTGTGATTTAAAGCTCTGAGTGGCATTGCAACTGTTATGGACAGGCGTGTAGCTTACCATCAGGCGCACGACTTGTTCGTCCCGTCTATTGATATTATAAAATAAAACATTTAAAGCACCATCTAGTATCTTGTAACAAAAACTCACTCGAGGTGAGTCTATCCCTTCTAGATGGCGTAAGTTTCATTCAATTACAAGGTGGCGCTTCGCCTTTATTGCATAATTGTAAATGTGTGTTTGAATTTCGGACTAAGTAACGCTTTACACTTAAAAAAATATTTTAATGTAAACGAGCGATTTCATTCTCAAGCTGCTGAAGATGATTCTGAAGATTCACTTCAATGCAGCGAATTTAATGTATGATTAAAAATACGTTTCATTTTTTTTTTAATTCTGATTCGCGTAAGTATCTAAAATTATTATTTCCGTAAAAACGAATAATGAATCGAACGACCCATTAATTTATCGGTTTGGTGCAACAAGGGCGGATAACACAAAGGAAAAAAAAAATGTCTAATTGTTTTAAAATAATAATAGCACCTGAATCTTTTAGCTGAATTAGAGCATAAATAAATGGAGTATATAAATAATAAAGGACAAAAAAATTTATATTAAAAAATATAACACATTAAAACTTTATTTTCAATTTTCTCGAATCTCATTTTTACGTGATATGCCCTCGTTACACCGAAGGCTTCAATAGCAACTAAAAGACCCATAGTGGATCCAAAATGGCGTCATCGATATAAGGTTTGTGACGATGCGACCTCTTCCATTGTCGTCCCACCGTTTTATCACCCTTTTCTCTGGTTCCTAACGACTTACTTTTCAAATTTAAATTGGTCTCTAATTATTTTCTTCGTCATTATTACTTTGCTTTGTTCCTTCGTCACTCCCATCGAGGAGAAAAGATTCTTCAATCATGTAAACTTAAACTGCTTATAAAGCAGCAATATATTACATACGAATACAGGCCCTTTTGGGCCTGTTGCATTCTTCCTTCTTTTCCTGTCACAAACTCGAATTTTTTTCCCGGAATAACGTCTGTTCGAATTTGCATTAAACCGAAGACTAAATTATAATGAAACCGTTGTTCTTTCAGGATATGTTGGATGTTTATCGGCAAGTCACGATTAGGTTTGGTTAGGTTTAAAAGAAAAAACATTTTCCTCTCATAATTACTTTTGCGGTTATGACAATTCGAGCAAAAGTTATTTCTGGAAAATATCATTTCGGACTACTCATAGGTAACCCTTCTACAATAAATTTAGGTGGGCCGAGCATTGACTTACAATTATATGGACGACGGGCCTATACAAAAACCACGAACAAAATGGCCCAAGTCAACCTATTTAAACGTAGTGACATGTAAAGGAATATGAAAAAGCTAAAACGTTGAATTTAAATTGTAATGTCATCGCAGTACTGTCTAATTTTGCTTGCTTCGCTGTCAGTCGAACAAACGAAGACTAAAGCGTGAATGACGCTCTGTATACGATTTTAACGCCCTATAAGTTCGGACACTTTTTAGCGCGGACCCGACGTCCATATAATTGTAAGTCAATGGAGCCGAGCATTACTTTCTATCATTATAACGCAAGACCCGCGTGACAGGTTTTCTTGCAAGATAAAACGAGAGGGACCGAGTATATCCAGAGAAGAGCAAACGCCCAGGCTTTGATTAATGGCGCGGCCAATTAATTATCAATCTCGGATATTGAATTTTTTTCACAACGGGGCTCAGCAGTGGAACTATAATTATTACTATTCTTACTTATCGCACTCGACGCAGTAAAAATTCCTCGCGCTAGAATGTTTCACACTGTGTATCCTCAGATGGGAAGGAGATAGGAAAGCCATTCCGCATTCTTTGCAGATGAAGTTCTTGGGTCTTTTTGTCGCTGATACTTCGGTTGGATGTCTCCTGTGGTATACAAATCATATTACTCTTTTCCAGTTTTTAGTAGCGGTAGAGTCAATTTTTTGGTCAAGCGTTAGTTTTCCATAAGAATTAATAAAATTGATCAAAAAATTTTTTTTAGTGCTGATCGACTCAGTTTTATGAATTTCATTGAACGTGACGAAAAAAATCGGGACAGCCAAAGTTGTTAAAAGTTCAATAAATACTTTTTCATACAAAATGAATAAATTTGATTAATTCTTTTAATGCAAATAGATTTAGTTATAATAATAATATAATAATAATAACGCACACACTCAACATAGCCCCGCACTAGGGAAACCCTGTGTCGCGGGTGCCACGGACACACACATAGACAACCACAAATTACACCCAAACTCACGAGAGAAATAAATGTAGGTCATACAAATATTTCGCCCGGCCCGGGAATCAAACCTGGGACCTCTGCGTGGCAGTCCGGCATGGTAACCGTTCGGCCACCGGAGGCAGTTAAAGTTTCAAGGATGACTTCATTGTATCGGAATAAAAAAACTGGGACAGCAGAAATTGGTTGAATTTTATAAAAATAAACCTCTGGTGTCCCGATTTTTTCATCTTACACAATGAAACGATATCCCTTCCTGAAACTGTCGATCATCACTGACAAAAATTTTCATCAATTTTATTCATTTTTATGGACAACTCACGCTTCACCAAAAATTTACAATGCCAAAATCATTTTCACAAATAAAGACATAATGGTTCCTAAGACAATTTCCTTGTATCTTCTATGATTGTCTACTATCTAGCAGCATGGACCAACTCAAGAGGATTGTTATTCTCTAGACTACAGATCGTAACACTGAAAAAAGGCAAAAATCCCGTCGTATATCAAGATGGCGCTGTTCAATAGCCTGAAAATATGTAAATGGCCGTAGATATCAAATAATTCCTCTTTAATATGAAATACAAGTAGTCAGTTTTTTCCTTGTATTGACCATGAGCCATTGCCTTACAAATAAATGGACGACGGGTCTAATACAAAAACCACGAAAAAAATGTCCCAAGTCAACCTATTCGAAATTTAAATCGTCATCGCAGTATCGCGCTGTCAGTCGAACAAATGAAGACTAAAGCGGAGTTTGGCGCTCTGTATACGATTTTAGCGCCTTACAAGTGTGGACACTTTTTAGCGCGGACCCGACGTCCATATAATTGTAAGTCAATGCCATGAGCTAATATTATTTTCTGACCTTAGCTATGTCGCATTTCAATAACACTAACTCATTGTAACTGCTCTTGTAACTCATTATAACTAGGGCGCATTGAAAACCAGCGTCACAGCCTAGTCTTGGTTGTGACTTTAGTGAATGGGATCCTTTTGCATACGCCACAGCCACACACATGTCAGTATATTATTATATAACTTGTTGTTTAAAAGTTGTAACGCTGTTTTTTTCTGTTTTTAATTATATGAGACCATTTTGCCTTTTTTTATATTGTGGCTTTGCAATTTCTATTTCTACTTCTATTCAATCACATCCACGCTTGAATAATTCTCAAATAAGCTTTAACCACGAATCGAAACAGTAACTTTACGGATTTGAACACAGTGCTTACTGCTACAACACTTACAATATCAAATGGTTCTTGAGTCCGTGTGTACCGGAATAACTCTTATTGCAATAGTCGCACATAACACGTTTCTTGTTATGTACGTGAAGTATGTGTTTCCGTAGAGATGCTTGGCGTCTGTTAAAAAAAAAGGAAGCACTTATATTTAAAAAAGAAAGAATTTAAGTTATAAGTAAACTTAACCGCTTTCGCTGTGTTCATTACATCTATTTGTCAAGTTTTATTGAGTTCGCTCAACGGGAAGTTGGTGAAATCATTGACCAAAACGAAGTGGATGATGTAGGCTGTATAAGAATGTTAAAAGAAATGAGAAAATGCAGGAGTGAAAACAAAAACTTATATGAAAAGCAAATAAAAAATTCAATACACGACACGCTGCTGATAAATAATCAATACATGGAAGCAAAATAAAAACATAGCAAATAATAAAAAAAATAATATTATAAAGTACGGGGTTCGCGACATCCTGTCCCTCGTGTCAACAGCTAAGCGATTGTAACCATTAGTTGTGCAATTAACAACGGGAAGTGAGCATGCCTACAGCTTCGGTACCTATCTGGAAAATAGGGAGAGTACTGTAAGTCTGGTAGCAGTGTCCTGCGACAATGTCCGGACGTAGATAACGACTTAAAGAGCGACACGGGTTTCGACTGGCCGCCGGTGCGCAGGAATGCATTGTGTCCAGCCAGCTCACGCGAAACAATAGCGTGGGTTAACATTAATCGAGAGGTAAGTTGAAAACTGAAGGTACTAAATAGATTTAAGTTCTTTTTCAGGTACAGTTCGCGTTCCCACTATGTCGTGACGACATATTGTCGTGCAGTTTACAGTGTCGTGGCCTGCCCTCCCCTCTCGTACCCCGCGCCCTCTGCTCGCTTTGCAGTAGCGTTGGGTCGTAGCCAGAGATGGGCAAGGAGGCTGTCGTGAAACGATAAATTGTCGTCACGATCTAGTGAGAACAGCTAGTCACGACAGTCAAATAGTCGTGATATGGGGACAGGCTAGATACGACAGTCGTCCAACGATAATAAAACGTGACGACATAGTGGGAACGCGCCCTGCGTGTGTATCGCAAGTGTTTTTCATGGTGGCGTTATTGGTGGCCCGCCGCGTGTAAAGAGGACAAGCAGTAGGGATGGGTATCGATTAATCGGAATAATCGATGTTTTTTAAATCGATGTCATCTGGTTCAATTAATCAGATAATCAATGATTACATACCGATTTTTGGTAAAAAAAAAAATTTAAAAAAATTAAAACCAAGTATATTTCATAAAAATATTTTACAAACATGTTAAAATTTGGAAAAAAACAACCACTTTCAAATCCAAATGTTCATTTTATTTAGTCGATTTTCGAAAAATGCGACTTACGCGCATATATACCGTGGCACCAGAAAGATGGTTGACATAAGCTCTTCCTTCCTGTCTCCACCGCCTTTGAAAAATTTATAGTCAATACTAGTGTCTATACTACTATATTGCTGTAATTTGTGTAATTTGAAATAAGGCAGGAAATTAAAAAAAAAAAATTATTTATTAGACAACAAAATTGTGAAGGTACAATGGAAATTAAATTAAGTACACAAAATAAAAGAAACACAATTTGTTGCAGCGACTATCGTGTACAAATAAAAATGACACTTGAATCCTGCACTAGGCTAAGCCTGTCTCGCAGGTAATCAGACTTTCCCTGTTACCAATTTCACGAATAAAGTAGCACAAATCATGAACGGAATATAATAAAAGAGAGTATTAACCAATTGTTTGAAAATGTTTATATGTGTGTGCGTGTGTGTGTGTGTGTCTGTGTGCATGATTGTTGTGTACGATAGTGTGTGTGAGTGTGTCAGTGAGTAAGTATGTGTGAGTGTTAATAAAGTAAATGTAAGTGTGTGTAGCAGTCCGCTGCACGGGATCAATAAGGATCCAGGATTGTCGCTCAAGGTTCAGCAGCAGCACTAACACACCATACTTAAAATATTCTCCATTTCAGAGTATGAAAGAGTTTCTAAGTAACGCCGGACTTTGTGCCTGAGCTCTGAGATCGAGCAGGACTTAATGCAACACAAAGAGTTTATTTTGTTGTAGATGTAGGGATGCAAAAATTTCGGAAACTTTCTGGCGAAGGTAGAATTTATAGTGGGGAGCGGTAGACCATAACGTCTTTTTTCAAGGGAACAACCATAATGTGGCGAAGAAATTACGCCTTTGTGTACGTGCACCATGACCCGGAGCAAGAAAAGGCCCCGAACCGAAAGGACCTCACTTTCCTTATACACAGAGGCAGTTGGATATCTAATAGGTTTATTCAACATAACTTTTAACACGGATCGTTGGGCCCTTTCAAGTATCATCATGTTGACCTTACCAGCACCACCCCACACAGTAACACAATAACTGATAACAGATTCGCAAAGCGTCACATATATCATCCTCAAAAGACCCAGTCCCGCTGACAAACGCAGATTCTTAAAGAGGTATATCAATTTGCGTAATCTTTTTGCAGTGACAATCAAGTGTTCTCCAAAAGTGAGCCTCTCGTCAATAAATACGCCAAGATATTTTACGCTATACGCCCTGGTAATGCTTTGACACTTGCAAGGACCTCTACCTTCAAGTCCACAAGAGTGAACCGGAATGTCAGGAGAATGGGTGGGCGCGGATGCACCAGTCTTGTAGAAACAAAGGAATTGAGTTTTAGTTAAGTTGAGTGTCAGGAGATTGTTCCCAAGCCAGGCAGCCACACGCGACATACCACTTTCAACCCGATCATAAACATATTTCCAGCTCGGACCACTGAAGATGATGGCAGTGTCATCTGCATAGCAAATAATGTCTGCCTGGTCCAAGTTTGAGTGAATAATGTCGTTAATGTAGACAATGAAAAGGGTAGGACCAAGCACGCTGCCCTGTGGCACCCCAAATTCGATAGATCTAGGATCGCTCGATTGATCAATGACTCTTGTGGACTGAGAACGTCCCGTCAAATAGCTCACAAACCAATCAAGCGCAACACCACGAATACCAAACAACTCAAGTTTACGAACAAGAATGGGGATGGATACGGTATCGAAGGCTTTTGCCAGGTCAATCAAGTCAAGGTCAAATTAGGGTTATGTTACGAGGTTCTTATGCATGCCGCCTGAGCCGCCACCTGTGTTTTCGAGGTTATTCTAGAAACTCTGGTACTATTCGCTTAGACTTAACGGAGTATTGTCTAGCACTCTCTACACCTACTTAGTTTTTTTTTACTTTAGAAATCAGGTAAACAAAGAAGCAGGGTTTGTAAACCGTAAGAGATGAAACTGACGTAATAAAATTTGTAAAAAATTCACCAACAAGAATATGAAGTAATGCGACCAATGAAAATCGATTAATCGATTTTTTAAGGCACGATAAGTCGACTGTTTTGTCAAAAAAATAATCGATGTCAATAATCGATGTTTTGTTGATAGATACTCATCCCTAAGAGGCAGTGTAAACGAGGTTCTTTGCGAGCTCACCTATCCCGCAGCTCTCCAAGAGGTTACTTTTTTTTATCATGTATAGCTTCACCGATATGTATGTACCTGTGCATGTTAACGAATTCAAAAAAAGGATGTTCACAATTCGAATAGGTATGGTTTTTTTTGTATGTATGTTATGTCATTTGTGAACCGTACCGGATAATCATAGCTTATGTACAAAAAGGGTAAACTTACTTAAAGCACTTGGCGCACTGTGGACAGAAGTACTGATACGCTCCATTACAGTGATGCGAGGTATAGTGATCGCGCACTGTGCTGCGGTTCGCACGCATAATGTTGCAAATCGTACATTTGAATCTTCTGTAATGCAAATAGTAACTTCTATAATAACTATACTCGAGCCAAATGCGATGTAGAATAAAGGTCAACAAACGAAAACATATGATTTTTAGGGTTTTCATCTCAGACACTTTCACAGTTACCACAATTTCAAAGTTTTCCTACGAAATTCGACTAGATTATGAATAATACTAAATCTTGAAGCTATGTTTATAATGAATATTATTCAACAGAAGTTTCAAATCACCTAAAAATGATATAAAAATGACCAGTTATTAATTATTTGTAAAACTGTGTCATCCCGAGTAACTTTTTGATTTGAAGGTCGACATTGTAAACATTCGACTTCTGGTGGTAATTAAAGTTCAGAATTGGAAATAGATGCTGGATGATATAGTATTTAGCAAATTAATTTAAATAAAATCTTACAATTTTGTTTCTTTTTACCATTACCTATCAATTACATTACCTAAATATTAATAGGATGCAAACACTTATTTTTATTCCTAAATCATACGTATCAATAGATATTTTGTAAACTTTATAATAATTGGCCAGATAAGTATTACTTCTACATAACCCAATTACCTACTTACCTATTTAAATTCAAATTAAGGGAAGCAGGTCGTGGGCAGAGAAAGCCTTAATAATGAGAATTGAAAAAAATGTTCTTTTCCTATGCCATCATTGGTTGCGTAGCAACGTTTTGTTATTAAATATTCTACATTAAATTTGGCTAGAGTATAGTTAAGACACATCCAACGCTAACATAATAGAAAGAAACAAGCTTAGAGACAAACACACTCAGTCTCTTTCGTTCTCGTGCACATTTGGATACTATTTACATGTGTAAAAAAAAATGTAATATATTTTTTTTTATACATGAAAATAGCATTCAAATACAAAATAATTATGTACATTACTTCAATTTTCTCAGTGTCCCTCGGTAATCTACCTATTTTTTTTTTATAAAAAATGAGTGCGCATTTGACCTCCATCTCAACTGATGGAAAGTGATGATGAAGGTCGACGATGTAACATGCACACCTAAATAATGCCTATTCTCTCTCGCCTTGAAAAGGTCCAAGTTATAGCGTTCGGGGAACAAGTCCGCAGGTAGGGAATTCCACTCTCCAGCCGCTCGCCATTTAAATGTGGAAGCGATACATGCGAATCCTGGGAATATCCACAACATAGGGGTGGAATCCCAGCCCACGTTTAGTCCCCTGATGATGGAATGGGAAAAGCATTGATTCCGCTTTTCCCTTTTTTTGTGCAATTAACCAGGCAACTTTACGACGGTGTTCAAGGCTCTGCAGCTTCGCCTCTACTAATTTCGAGTCACATATAAGCCTCTTGCCACGCTTGTCGATTGAAACCAAGGTGGCCAGTTGGTATTTAGCAGAGCCATCCCATAAGTGGCAGCAGTACTCCATACACGACCGGACTTGTGCTTGGTGCAGCTGAAGCAACTGTCCCGGTGTGAAGTACCACCTGACCTTGGAAAGGATGCCTTCCTGCCTGCATTTTTGGCCATGGATTCAGTGCATCTGCCGAAGTTCAGATTGGACTACAGGCCCATTTCAAGTAGCTGGAGACGGTCGGTTATCGACCTATCGACCGATTTCCGAATGTCCATTAATTATTAGATTTGAAATGTATAATAATTTGAATTATGAACAACGTACTTTATTGTTGTTTGTTTGTTGTTGTTTTGATTTCCGTGTGAACTTCTGTGTATTACACAACAACAACAACTAACGTTAACAAGTTAACAGAAATAAAGTGTACTTTTTTATATAACTAAAAATGAGTATTTGTCTGTCTGATTATTATTAATTCTTTCGTACCTTTTTAGGCCACTGAAAAGAAATTGATTTATCATTTTTGTCATATTCTTTTAAAATATTCTTTACTTCGATTATAACACTACAAGCTACGGAAACACGTTTTTGGACTTTGTAAAAATAACCATTGTTGTCTTTCTTACAAGTCAACTGAATGAGTCAAATGAGTATCAAAGAGGGACATTGAGAAAATAGATAGATAGTAAACACTTTATTCTCACACACACAAGAACTGTACAATTCTACATAAACAACTTAAAACTAATGTGAGCAAAGGTGGTCTTATCGCTAAGAGCGATCTCTTCCAGACAACCTTTGAGGTAAAGGAAAGCTAATCGGAGCGGGAGGCGTAATGTGCCAATTTTGCAAATAAAAAAAAATAATTGCATAAAAAAACACAAAATAAATAAATAAAATAAAAACAGTAATTTATCAAATATTTAATAAATAACGATACATTATATCTACATAAATATATGTATGAATAAATATATCTAAATAAAGTTATACTTACTAATAAATATGCACACGTAGCAGACTAGGACCGTGCTAGAAGATATTTACGCAATCCGGTTTTGAAAATAGGTAGCGACTTAGAATCTCGGATTTCAAATGGGAGATCGTTCTACAATTTTGCAGCCGTAAATAATCGTAACGGAATCTTTGTAATACTCAGAGCGAGTGAAAGGAGGCTACAGTAGGTTATCCATTTGAGACCTTAGTTCACTTAGAAGCACTGTATTTTAGTACCTAGTATTTTAAATAATGTAGAAAAACAAAATTATTTACAGGATACTTACTTACGATGATTCGCCTGATGGTAGGCCAATTCGTCAGCGGTTTCCAGTCTCAGTTTACAGATATTGCACTCATAGTCTCCTTTGCTCTGGAAAAAAAAAACAAAAAATCTTTTTCAAAAAAATTTTTTTTTTTAATTTTTTCTTAAAAATATGTGAAAAAAGGTGGGTTTTTGTAGTTACAGTTTTTACACTCATTAATTTTTAGTTTAATAATAATAATTTATTTCTTTAAAAAGGGAGCAACTCTTAAACTAAACACTACTAGATTCGCCAGAGGGAGCCGTGAAGTAAACAATCCGAATTACGTTCGATTTGCTTAAAATTGTTAAAATTGGTTGATTATCTTAGACAATTGGTTAAAAACAATATTGTGTACGTAAATATTATGTGCAAGTGTTTGTAAACTTTTTTATATAGTAAATAACTCAAAATAATATATCAAAGTGTTAAGACTGTATCACTTTAAAAACACTTAAAATCAGTGTAATTTTGTGACAAAATTATTACAACAGCTAATATTAAATGAAATAGTATATATTTGCAAAGATTAATTAAGTGAAACAGTGTTTATTTTAAAGTTTTTAAAAATATTTATCCGTTACGTAGGTACTTAACGTTTGAAATGGTAAATTGGACTTTGGACCCTGTTTAAAACGTGATAAAAAGAAATCCAAACTCAGAGCGCTTCCTACACACGGTTAAATTCACCACTCCGAGCAGCGTCGTATTGGTCTAATGGCTGTTGCGGTTGCCTTTAGTATCCAGGTTGCGCGTTCGATCCTGACCGGGTGATACACAAACATTTTATTTTTTTATTTTTTATTTAAAAAAATAAGGAATCTGTTTTTTGTTTATTTTTTGACGTGGATTTACAAAAAAAAATCACCTTTGAAATAAATAATAAACGGGACTTATTCAGATTTTGGAGTACAGTTTTGATTAAGAAAAATCTGTATAAAATGGAAACGTTGTGCACAAAATGCAAAAGAAATATACATGACAGGCAATGTTTATGCTGCGTAGTGTGTAAGGGTCAATATCATATTGATTGTACTAACGCGTCCAAGCTATTTTGTTTAATGAGCGCGGGAAGTAAGGCAAATTGGAAATGCAACTCGTGCCTTTTGCACGGTCAAAAGGAAGATGACCATTTTCATACACCACCGCCTATGACCACACCCCCTCCAACTTTTAAGTCTCCTCAGTCCTCAACACCGCAAAACTTCGTAACCGTCAGAGACAAAGTACATGTTAATATACCAATTGAGAATACGTTTAGCATCTTATCAAGTGATGAATCATGTGGGGAATCGCAGGAACAGAAAAATGATAACTGCATATTACAACGAAGTTGCCCAGAACTGAATATTAACAACACAGATGAAATGAAAGATATTATACTTAAATTGCAGTCAGACTTAGCATCTGCTGAACAGGAAATAGAGAACTTACTGTCTGAAAATTTTAATTTAAAAAAAACAAATTCTAAACAAGAGAATCAAATTAGGCACATGAAAAAGATATGTACATCTACCGTAAAAAATCATTCATCGGCGCGAAAGAAACGTAAAAGCCTGCATACTACTAAGTTAAATTACTCACAAGACATAGAGCAACAGACAATGGAGAAAATAAGTAATAATGAAATTGTTAATAATTATAATGATAATGATAAACCAAACACAATAAACAATAAAGAACGACCGGTCGAGCAACAAAAAAATAGGGTGATAATATTGGCCGATGAGCAAGGCACTGGAACTCAACGTATACTACAAGAACTGTTGGGAACCAAATACAATGTTTTCTGTTTCTGCAAACCTGGAGCCAACGTCGTAAATGTGATTTCGTCTTGTACATCAGAAATAAATACTTTGACAAATGAAGATTATGTAATTGTAATTGGTTTCAAGAACGATACAAGCCCATTTGATGTGAAATATCTGTTCACGTCATGGCTCTATTCAATTAAAAATACAAATGTGCTAGTGTGTGAAACCCCTTATAACAAACATTTGAATGAAACAAAACTTAATCAGGAGCTAAGATTTATTTGCAATAATTTTGAAAATTCTGTTTTTATTGATATGAATTTTGCCAGATATGTGCCTAAACGTAAATATTATGCTACCTATTTATGTCGCAATGTACTTAGAGAAATATTGAGAATGTCAAATCATAGAAGGTATAAGCAACACATGCTCGCAAAATCTGTAACTGTTACGGTTAATGACGTCTGCACTCAAACCGATAGTACTGTCTTTGTTAATTCGGAGCCACAAGTGGAATATGAAAAACCATCCCAGACACCGTACAAACAG